CTATCCCCTTCTCATATTACTTCACTGTTTTGGGTATCCCCAGGTAAGGTAGCCTCCCAGAAGACCTCCTTAGGTAAGGGGTTCGTTCGTCACCCATTCATTTCTTCCCCACGGTCCATGGGGGAGAAATGAATGCCTGTCGGTAAGGGTACCCTCCCGGGATACCTAGATCACCAGTGATCTTGGTATCCCCCGTGATATTGCAAAATTGTTTGTTTCTTTGGCTTTTTCCCCCCGCTCTGTTAGTGTCCTGAAAAGCTGTCCCCTCCCTATATTTCGAATAGGTAAGCCTAAGTTATCTAGTTTATCGAAGACATTGGAAGGTTTCCTTCTGCTAATTTTCTCGTGGGCAACAAGAGGAGCCTGCAATCCTAATCTCCAGGTTGTTATTACGCATGCGTCGCATGTATGTAGCCAGCATTCATCCTCGTTCCCAGAGCCTGTCGTTTCTTGGTCACGTGGTCTTGAATTCGTTAGAAATTAAGCCGAGTGGCTCTGGGGACGAGAATGGCCAGCATTCGTTTGGACTTCCACAGTTCCACTAAGAATGAATGGAATGCACAGAAGGCAATTTGATCACGTGCGTTTGGACTTTCTATCACTCGCAATCTGATCACGCGTGTTTTGAGTATCTGTGACCGTGAAACTTACGCAAAGCACACGGCGATGGAGCAAAAGCATATTGACCTTCGATCGTTGTCGCCCGCACTCCGTAACGTTTGGTTATTACTACAGTCTCAGACAAAAATAGTTGGGAAACTTAGACCAAACGCTGTTTTTTATCCTTTTCGTGCTCCCCTTGTGCCTCTCAAAGCTGTTAATCGCGGTTCAGTCACCAAACCTTGTACACCAACATGAGGGGACAAGGCGACACAAAAGTATCCCAACAATTTTGACCGAGACTGTGTTTTAGCGGAATTTTAGGTATGTGACTCCTCGTTGGCTCTAGTGGCGGGAAGTGTTTGTTCCCTTAATTACAACATTCCAAGGTTTTAAAAAAGCTTTGAACGTATTGGGTTTTAACAGTGAACAACGGATGAGTCAAAACTGCGCGCATCATTTCGTAGGGATTCTTGCCCCTAATATGTCATACCGGTGGTGACACGATTGGACGGGTCACCATAACGGGTCACCGTACTATCCAGGGCGTTTTCTAAGACCTCCCTGGTATATATAATGGCATAAGAAAGCAAAGGCTAAGGTTCTTTCACACCTAATTGAAATTGCCGAGGTTTATAGAGCCGTGATACATGTAAGACAAGTTATGAACACTTTGATCATGGTGACCCGATTGTTCGCTGAAAGAAACTTACAAATATATTAATTGAATTAATCAGTACGGTGACCCGTGTACACGTCGAGTATAACACTTTTTTTGAGGTTTTAAGGATATGTATTGTCCTCGTTTGATATGATTCATGTTTTGTACCTTAATTCCCACATTTTTGGCACAATAGTTTGTTTTATAACTATTCAGAAAGGTGTATATTTGGGGTAAAGAATGAGAACCGATGTAACCATATGCCGCAAGGCCAAATTAACATACGTTGTAAACAACTTATAAAAAGTTGTCGATTTTACAGCAGTAGCCTGGAATATCATGAAGAAACTTTTGGGCGTGTTTTACCAAACACTTCTGGAGCCGCGACACCCTTTTTACGCGCTTGTAGTCAATAGTATCTTTAGAAATTTAGAAAGTAGGATACTGTTCTCGCTGATACGTCTTGGGAATAATCCTGGCTTGTTGCATTTTCCAGTTTGGAGGAATAGTTTCCCCCTTCCTCTCGAAATCGCTTAATCATGGCTCTTCTGAGCTGTCTTTCGCCCCTTGCCCTTAACTTAGAAAGGCGTCTCTTTGGGCCTTGTTACTTACACTCTTTTTTGGCAAAGAGGCCTTCTTTAATATGCTCCACACATATTCTCTTGAAATGTGGCATATTCGAGCGACTCTCCGTATGTGAAAACCCTAAATTTTAGGCAGATAGTATGCTCGTGCTATATTGTCACGCTATCAATCGCTCACTCGAAAGCTATTTGTGTTCCGTTTATTGCACACTCAGTTCGTTTTATTTTCCAATAATCTGCTTCCCAAGAAAATTTCTGCGAACTGGACATCCTTTGTGTTATTGTGTGATGCCAAAATAACTCAGTTCACTGCTATAGAAACGTTCGCGAAACACAATGGACGCCCCAACAAACCAAAACACAGCGCTTGTGACCGACCAAGAGATTAACCTTCCTATCTGTCAACACGCCTTCAAATTTCTTCCCGACACAGTCTCAGACAAAAATAGTTGGGAAACTTAGACCAAACGCTGTTTTTTTCCTTCTCGTGCTCCCCTTGTGCCTCTCAAAGCTGTTTATCGCGGTTCAGTCACCAAACCTTGTACACCAACATTGAGGGGACAAGGAGACACAAAAGTGTCCCAACAATTTTGACTGAGACTGTAGTTGTAAACACTATTTTATCTATTTTTAAAGCAGTTCGCATAATTTTGAGAATTAAATGATTTAAATTTTCGTTTATGAGAAGTTTCAACTCTGGCTATAGACTGGGACAATTGTGGTGTTTTCAAAAGGTGGTCACTTTTGGGAAGAGTTCGGTGATGCAAAGGTGTTTGCACACGAGAAAAGCTTGTAAATCAGAAGCCGAAGGCGAGTGATTTACAAGCTTTTCGAGTGTTCTCCCAACATCCCAAGTGGGTTATCACGCCGGTAAACCCATAGAAAGTGTGGTCTATTGCTTTTATAAAATGACTTTAAGTTTTCTATGAGTCTACCGGCACAATAAACCTAGGTTTTTAACCAATCAGAACGCGCGTACTATCTTAGTTATTTTATAAAAGGGGATATAAGGCAAAAAGACATTGCTATGTAGTCTCCTTACTCTTCATGTTATTCTGCTGAGATAAAGGTAATTTTTTTCTTCTGATCCTGATGGTACTGATGGTTAAGAGGGAAACTGTAATCATACTGAAATGTCTAAGAAGGTTACCACATGAATAATTAACTTCAAGGCAAAAAATATATATTTATCTTGTCAAAGTTACAATGGTCTCGCTTTATTTGCATAACGTTTAATTACAGTAAGTGGAAGCCATGCAGCTCCATATGGCCTCAGTTTTTTTCAGTTGATTCCATTTGATTCAGTTAGCCAACTGGTGGGAGGATAAGCAGGGGAGTGCTGTTGTTTTTTGGCAGCAGAGCCACAAGAGGTTTGGGTACAAGTCAAATTTTATTTTCCCTTTCTTAAAGAAAATACCCAGTGTACGATAAACCTGCTAGCTACACAAACTATACAAGTAAATTTCAGTTTAAAAAAATCTAATATCTAATATCTATACAGCTAGGTTAGACTTAAAAACTAACCTACTAAAAGACAATTCTTTCATGTGTATGCAATAATTTATAATGGTCGACACCTCAGTTCTATATGAGCGAAAAATAAAATCAAACGCTGAATTGTACATGATTCGTGAAAAGTCTGTTTTAATTTAATTCCCGTGAACATGCATGCACGACACCCCTCCCCCCCCGCCCCCCGTTTCCGACCCTCTCCTGAAAGTTCGTTTAGACCTCTATTAAAATTCATCTTCAAAAATTAGGGGGTGGCCCATAAGCCAGTCCATGGACCGGGTCCAAAAAGGGGTCCATGTACTAGGTCCACAGGGATGGTCCATGGACCGGAGGTCCATGTTTTGTATACTTTCCCTAAAGTACTATTTGCCGTAGCAGTGATCCGTAACAGGCAAAACACGACGCTCAAGATATGCGTCTAGAAACGAACTTTTTTCCGCAGGGTATGTTTAACTTCAGGCATCTGTTTACAGATTTTGATTTCATTCTTGTTCTCCCCTGATGGTCGCTTGGCTTCCATGTTACTGACTTTCTGGTTGACTACTGTTAAAATATCGAGAAGGTGGTCATAAAACGCACGTTCACGGAATGCTTCAGCGAGACCGCGAACATAGTGGCTTCCTAAATTTTCATCCCTGTACGACACATACTCATCGACTGTGGAAAATGCGTACAGAAAATCTGCATGAGTGGGTTCTCTGGATGGACGGTTCTTCACTGAGTCAAAGGGGGAATCAACATGTCCGTAAGACGTAATGCCGGTATCACTGGACGCGGTTACCCCCTCGTCTTCGTCCTCACCTCTGCACGCCTGGATGAAAAACAGCTTTGGCTTACCGCTTAGCTTATCGCATCCGCTGAACATATCATGAAGAGTCTGAATAGGTATCGTGTTGCCGTCAGAGCAGAACACCTCACCACTCTTGCCATGGCTCATGAGCCACAGCACAAAGCAATCATAAGCACTGTGATCTTGGCAAGCAACATCATCAAGTTCGTCCAAGAGTTGTAGTCTTGAAAGGTTCTGTCTCCTTTGTACCTCAAAACCCAGGGCAATAAATAGCTCTTCAACTTGACGAACATCTTCTTCGGACCCGTGACGAGGTAACTGCTGTCCATGTGTAGGATGATGGGCAAAAGACGCGTTGTTAATGATCAGCGTTATTCCTCTTGGGCGAGCTGTCATGTTGTAAACCTCGTCTGTTCCAGGGTGATAACCAGGCTGGACAGCTTCGCAGAAAAGAGAAATTTTGTAAAGGTAAAATTGAAATCTCTCAACTGTCTATTACTGACCTGACTGTAAATTAAATATATCCAGTTGAACCTCGATATATAGTTTTTAACCATGGTTTTCCGCTTAGTCCAAAATTCGTAATTGATTTCCTTTTTTGTCTTTTAAATGTTTCACTGTAAGAGTGGATTCTTACGCCCATTTACCCGTTGGAATTGTTTATTGTTTTTTAACTTCAAAATAATAAAAAACTAATTCCCCTAACTTTAAAAGTGGATGGGAAACTATGTGGAGAAGGTGAAGGTATACACGTAGAACAAAACAGCTGCCATTCAGCCTCCTCCTAGGCAGACTATATGCAGAATGATTACAACAATTTTAGGTATCACGGTCTATCAAAACCCCGAACTATAAATTTTCTGAAGGCTTCGTATTGGCCGATTATAACAACGTATTCATAACACTATAGAAGAACAACAACAACAACAATCCATGGAAAAATTACCGATGGCAGTGTACACACCCGGCTGAGGGACAGAGACCCAACAACAATGTTTCCAAATACGTCAAGAAGACTATGTGGTTCATTTACAGCAAAGCTGCCCCAAAAAATTATTTATCTGTTCGGATGTCTTAGGGGAACTTCGGTCGCCCTAAAAGTTTTAGGTGGCTTTTTCGTCTTATCCGAAATTGTTAGCTATCCTGATGCCGGGGTCCGCTCGAAAGTTCGAGAACATAACCGTACTTCTTGGTTGTCGTCATTTTATATAAAAGGCTTTAACCTTGACGTTTTGTCTCTGTGCAGAAATTTTCAATAGACCTTTGTTTTCATAATAATAACAATATCTCGGTAGTAAAATCTGAAAAAACACAACCTCTGTCAGAATATCGTGATTAAGTTGGTAGGAAAACTGAACGGATATCTAGAAATTTTAAGCCTTCCTCGAGCTTAAGAAATTCCTAGGCAAATATTTGCCCCTTCAAACAAAGAATAAATTTAGAAAAAAAGGAAAAGGGCTTGGGTGCCCCTGACTCGGGACCACTTAAAAGTAGTGCCGCTCCAGCAAAGAGCAAGGTAAATACCGGGCTTAACTCTTAGTTCTCTAACACGTTTGTCTACAAAAACCACGTCTTCGAATTTAACCTTTTGTTTCGTTCAGTGTCAGCCGATGTTGAAGAAAATAAGATTTTATCACTTTTGAAACTTATTCACTGCCCAAGTAGAAATGTAGTTACCTTTGAAAGAGAACCATTTTCTCAGTCCAGGTAGTGTCGGCGTCTCAAGACTGTTTTGGCACTGGCTAGGTGTCCCTCCTTTCAGAATGCTTAGAAGGCACAGACAGTCCTCGTGAGTACAACAGACCTGACCGTGGTCAGAACACTCTTCCCTCTCTTGCATACATTCAGGACATGCGATACTGAAGTCATACGCCAGGTTATTCCAACAGGGCAACCCCCGTATTAGTGACTGCATTGCCTCTTCCAAAAACTCTCGCACAGCCACTGCCACGTCGTTACTTTCAGGAATTGGTGCTTTGTTTGCTTCAAGGTAGTCTTGCTTTTTTTGCTTCTTTAAGATGATCTTTATGACTCTTTTCTTGCACAGAAGGATTAACTGATGAAAGGGCTCCTTCTCAATGAAAAACCGAGATGCTCCATCGAAAAAATGTGGCTTCTGCTCGAATCCACTCTCAGAGCACCATCTTGTTAATTGTGACATAAGCTGACAGAAAAGACCGCGAGGAACAAATCCTGCCAAAAAGCGTAGGTACAGTGGGCACGGATCTGAAGGCGATGGCTCCACTTTGCAAATGCGTCCAGGTGGCGTCTTAAGTTGACAGGGTACAAAGTACATTTTATCTTTGGGTGAGGGGGCAAACTTGACGATCAATCCGAACTGCTCCATCATGTTCAGTATATCTTCCTTGACACTGTCTTCCTCACAAAACTTGGAAAATACGTAATCAACAAGTTCCATTTTGAGAGCACCTGTTGCTTCCATTTCTTTCCACAGTTTAGAATGCTTTGGATCCTACCAATAACGAATAGACCGAATTAAAGTTATTAAAATAAAAAACATGATAAAGAATCATTTAAAATTAAAGAATCTTTATTTCTCTTTTGGGCCCCAAGAGCATAAAAGCTATTGGCTGGGCTTAGCACTCACTGGAATTTCAAGACATTTGCATAAGAAGTCGCCATCTGACCTGGACAAAAAAGGAAAATTATTCAATACTATGTTTTCAATTTTAACTGAAACTAAGTTGTTCGTTTCAGACGCGAATATGCAAACGTTTTGGTTTGTTTGGGGAATTAGCAAAAAGCAAAACTTTGAGTGTTCATTGCACGAAGATCACCATTCAACGTAGACAGCGGTGACTTCACAAGCGGGAGAGCAATCGTGGTTTCCTCAGGGCCTATCAATTGTCAATGGGTTAACCTCAATGTTTATAGATTGTGACAAAGGTAAACGTGAAAGTTATGTATAAGACCAGAAATATATAAGATAAACGTTAACAAATAGATTACACATAAAATTTAGAACCTTAAGATTGTTGCTGCTAGCAGGTCTATAAGGGAAGCGGAAAATGCACATGCGCTGGCTTTGCTTAACAAACATGACGTTTTAGTAGTCACGTGCGACACAACTTACAGAACCGGTTTGCGCCTCGGAAAATACGCAAAAATATCACATCCTTTTAGGTGTGCATGATTTTTCTTGCGGTGATGTTATTTTTTACATTTTCATCGCTTTGCTAAGAAAAGGATGTTTTTATAGCCTGATTGAAATGCGAAAGTTATGAAAACGCAGATTTCATGAAAGGCCATAAAAACTGTTGGCTCAGAAATTTCAAGCGCACAGTCTCAACAGGCACGCGCATTCCACACGAGAAAACCAATCAGTTTCAACCATAAATCTTGTCGGCGCGGCTACATTAAACAACTCACCGGGATCCGGAAGAGGTCTCTTTCCATTCTCTCAATTTTTTCTCCCCTTGAGAGACCCCGCTAGCAGGGAACTTAAGATAATACTTTAAAATATTTACTAAAGGGAGCTACTCCTCACTTGGAAGCGCGATCATACTGCAGCTGGGTATGAAATTAAGGTGTTCTGAAGTGGCTAGAAATTCATCTTATTAATTATGTCCTTGCTTTGTGTTAAAAAAACTTTTATAACAGTACATTCACCCAGCAACCTTTGTGGTATTACAGGTGTTTAAAGTATGGGAACCCTAATGAAAGGGTTCCTAAGTCTCAACTGAAGTAGTGGGTAAGAAAGAAGGGAGAGAGGGTGTGTGTAAATGGGCGTGTTGTAGACATAAAACAACTAAAAGTGGATAAAACATAAGTAGTTAATTGTTAGAAACAGCACCAATATTGAGCGACCGACAAACTGCAATGCACGCAGCTACGTCCAACACAAATAAACGGTGCAAAATAAAATGTTTAAGGTTAGAAAAAGCACTGATATGTCTTGAGATAACAGTAATGCAAATTTATCTATATTGCTGCTATAGATTGTAATAGTGGAGAAGCTGAAGCCGTCTATGAATTGGAAAAGGTAAAAAGGTAAAATTGGTCCGTCCTAAAAATGTTAAGAATGGAGTAAACCGCATTTGAAATACCGTAAAATTCCGAAAATAAGCCCGGGGCTTATATTTTTCAAAGGCCCTTTTTGACGGGCATATTTTTGGAGGGGCTTAAATTCGGAGTTCAGTCTTTAATTTACTCGATGAATAAATAGACGATATTACGTGCCCGCGCAGAGACACGAAATTTCTCTTCGAGTACAGTGTTAAAAAATATTACACGAGTGAGCCCTCCTTTCGAACTGTTTTATGATGAATTTAAAGTTACAAAATGCTGCACAAAGACATTTTGTCTTTTTTGCGTGTTACGTAGCATAATTGCTTTCATGCGTTGCATGACTTTCTCGAACGTTCTTTACGTTTTTTGGATTATTCATGAATAATTAATTAGGGCAGGTTTACATTTCAGCATGAGTCACCAGATTTGCATCATCAACTGAAATCATAAAATATGTCGAAAAGCTACTCCTATTCCCCTGTTTAGTATTTTATAGAACCTTATGTCAAACGGTATACAAGTTCCAAGCGAGTTCTTTTGACGAACTAAGGCCTGGACCTAACTGAATAAGTTCGACTTTGGAGCGACACTGGTGCGACATCTGATTCAGACGGCGCACCGTGTGTCGAGCCTAAGTTAAGTTCGACAAAAGTTCGACAGACTCTGTCGAACTTAACGCTTTTGCCGCACCAAACTAAAACTGCCGTACTAAATTGATTCAGACGCCGCTCTTTTGCCGTACTTAATTCATCAGTTAGGTTTGACACATGAGTGGAGCGGCGTCTGAACCGGGCCTAAGTTTTTTCCCACGAGCTGGACTGCTGTGTTTAGTCAAGTGTGACGAAGGTCGATTTTCAAGTTCTGTGTTTACGTGTTAGCGGAAGCCATAAGATATCTGAAGTTCAAGTGAGAGTTTGTTATTATTTGCAGAGGCTGTTTCGTTCTACTTAAGTTCAAGTCAAGTTTGTGTTGGCGGATGCCGTGTTTTAAAGCTCTGTAAAGGCTATGTTGCTTTGGTATTAAACTTCCTTCTGTTAATCCGACATCCCCGCGTGCTGATAGTCAGTGAATAATTATCCTCAAAACATTCAAACTCGTAACATTGAGTTTTAGCCCATTCTATGCTCAACGTAATTGACTCCTTAACCACGCCTTACATATCTTTAATCAGTACATGAGACTGCTATGCTGTTTTTGAAGCCTGATGTGACTAAAAAAAAAAGAGAATTCTTTTTTCACTGTTTGTTTCGTTAGACTTGTTATTCACCGCTAGTAACCTCATATTTGACTTAAGACTAAACGTTTAGACCCAAGTCAAATTTAGAAGGATTTGTATGGAGTCATAGGGCATAACTGGGCTAATATCTCACAGACAATATGTCCGGAAATGCTAGTTTTTGGCAATTAGGCCTTTTGGATGTTGCTCTTTTCAGAATATCCTGACAAATCCTGTCATTTTACAAATTAACACCTTACTCTTACCATATTTCATTTCTTACTATTCCTCCGCATTTACAACTAATCAGTTCCACAACAACGACGCCGAAGTGTACGCTCCGTAGCGTCTTGTTTTACTTTGTATTTGAAGGCAAATTCCGAGTACAAGCCGCCGGGGGGCTTATATTCGGAGGGGCGATTTACCGGACGGTTTTTTGCGTTACGATTATGGGGGGCTTATATTTAGAGGGGCTTATTTTCGGAATTTTACGGTAGCTTCCGACACCATCGACACGTTGGGGCTCGAATCGTGGCTTAGTCGCTTGACTTTCGGTCAATGGCTCAAACCTACAACAAGGCGTTTGCTCAAGTTTCCAAAAAAAACGTTATATGAACATTTTGCCTGTTTTTACCTTACTAATATCCGTCGGCAGGTTCCTATTCATGTTTTCGTTCTTTTTTCTTTAAAATCATAACCCATTATGCAAAAATCGTTTCACATATTTAAACTCACCCCTACCCCCACCCCAACCGCTCCCCTTTAGTGAGTGTACCACAGTGGGGTTAGGGAATTGCTTGAACTTCAGAGGATTAAACTAAACAGGGCTATGATTATGGACTTGAAGTTTTTGCTCCTTACCATGTCATTAAAGGAACGAATGGTGATGAGCTGTTTAAAAACCTCAATAAGCCATTGAGCTTGAAGTACAATGGTGTTGCGATGTCTGACAATCATGCCGAGGTCATGATAGAAATCCAACATAGTGCCAGCTTCATCCTCTTCTTCAATGAAACACACTTTCTGCACAATCTCTTGAAGTTCTTCGAGGTCTAAATAGTGCACTCCTTTGGAAACCAGAATTTGGACAACTTTCTCGAAGTTGAACCACCTGGAAAGCAAATATAGACATACAGCGTAAAGCTATTGCTTAAGGCACAACTTAGGTGTTTGTGAAAAAATCCAAGCTAACATAACAGGCCAAATAAGGTAGGAAGCCTATTCAGCGCATAAAGCCAAAATAAGTTTATAGAGTTTGAAGTTTGAGTTAACGTAAAACATACTACTGCAAGTAGGGTAAGGTATTCATTATTTTAGAGAATGACGTAACCTGAGCGGAGGAAAAGGAGTGGAAAACGATAAGACGGAGAATAAAAAGGACTTATTTAAAAATACCTCAGAGGGTGTAATTTCCGAATAAATGGCAAAACAGATTTCATCGGAAAACAAACTCGGTTTTGATGAAAGTTTCATCTCAAAAATTTCCTCAATCTGTTGCATAAGAAATCATTAAAATTAATTTGTTAGGAAAGGGGACTAAAGGGGAAACCAGAGTATCCGGCCAAAAAACCTTTCGGAGCAAGGAAGAGAAGTAACTGCAAACTGAACCCACTTATGGCATCGACCCAGGATATGATCCTCGGAGGGTGAATACCATTACTCCCCATTATTACTCTTCTAAGTAGAGTGAATTCGTCAATTTAATAAAATCTCCCTTTTTCCGGTTACAGTCAAAACATATTTATTGATTCATTGACGAAATGTTAGCTTTCTAGTTTTTACATGGACGTTCTATATTTGGCTTTTTTTGAAATTTAGGTTTTTCCGTGGGGGTCTGCGTCTGTCCGGGTCTATTATGGGGTACCTCCCGGTGTCTCGAGTGGGTCCCGTGGTGTTCCAGACCAAAGACGCCCCCTTCTACCGCTCAACCGTGATAATGACCATTCAATAATTTTCTGTTCCATTTAGCATTTTATGCCTCAGCGAATCTCTCCTTTTGTTTAAGTTATGAGCTTCTGCTAAACTTTTTAGAGTCCTCAACTGTTCAGTATGGAATAATATTCACCAGGCCTGGGGTTGTTCAAACGTTGGATAGCACTATCCAAAGGATAAATCACTATCCAGTGGAAAAATATTGGAGAAAACAATTGCGCTATCCGGTGGACAGAGATTTAACCAGTGGATAGCGCTATCCACCTTTTAAACAACTAGGGCCTGACCCGCAGTTACCAATTCAGCGTTTCTCTTTCAACTTACCGTACTGGTCTCTCCTCACCCATGTATGGCTCCTGCCCCAAAACTTCAATCAATCGTTTCTGAAGTTCGATTACTCCCTCATCAGATGATCCTTGCGTATTATCGACCGAGAAGAAAGGGCGAATCACGTGACAATCGAAGTCCTTACCAACTATCTTCCTCTGAATCTGCAATTCAATCTCCTTGACATCCTGATGTGGTTTATCCGCATGTGTTCCCACAATGAATACTGGAGGGCGAACATAGGGCAGGTTTTCCCCTTCATTCACTTCTGGTTGTTGTAATAAATGCATATTACTGATGGAAACTAGCCACGATAATAAATGTTCCATATTCGTTTCCTTGTTTGGATTAGTGAGATGAAGTTTCAAAGTTCCTTGTCGGAAACATGGCTGAGCAGTTTCCTTTAATCCTTTGCTGAGATCATACACCAACATATAAACTGCTCGTGTCGATAAAAAAACTGGGTACGACGCATAGTAAAGATGTTGACCAGCGAAGTCCCAGAGATCAAGGGTGATGTCATGTTCAATTGATGTGGCATCACTCTGAAGATTTAAACCTTTCAGAAGTTGAACAAGATGATCTGTAAATTCCTTCGGAGGCAAAGTAGGGTCGATATTTAATTCAGTTGGGATGCCCGTTTTTGCATCTTTTTTGTCTTTGCCGGATGTGCCCTGAAAAATGTTTTAAAACGTTTAATAAACTGGGTAACAAGCAACTTTTTCAAATGCATTAAAATATGTATGTTGGAGAGTTATGCAAGCGACGGTCTTTCCATTCAATGTAGGTCTTCCAGAAGAAAAGGACCTTACATACACGACTGATTTCAACATTGATATCTGCACGGTGGGACAACCCGTACGGTAACTGTATTCTCATGCGCACTTTTTCCTGATAGAAGCAATCGTTTTTACGAGAGTTAGGGCCTCTTTACATGGAGGTGGGGGACCCCAGGTAGGTGAGCTGACTCGCTTAGGTGGGGTAACCCGCCTGTCCATATAATCTCTCATTTTAATCGATCACGTTTACGTGATAGGTGGGGTGACCCGCCGCATGTTACCTCACCTATCTACAAAATTGTGAGATTTTGACAAGGTTTTGAATAACGTTTTGTGGCGTCCTCAAGGAAGTTTGCTTTGTATTTTTTGGTTTCTTTGTTGTTGTTTTGACCATTTTATCGGCGTGTTCGATTATTTAGTGGGCTGGTCCATGCTTTCGTGTTATCATGGAGTTCATGGACAGCGGCGAAGAGCTTTTTCTGACACAAAATTGTTTTTCGCAAGAAGTATTAGAACCTAATTTTAGCATGGGAAGGAAAGACAGACCCACGGAAAACTTCAGCAGAGCGTAGAATGATTAGCTAATGATTGTTATTGTTGACGATGAAGAACTTGAAAAGAGGAAGGCATCTCGAATACCGCAAAATACACGAATAAACACATCGCGGGCAGTCCGTGTCTGGTCTGAATGGGCGGAGGAACGCAATGATTTGATCCAAGTCATTGGAGACAGTGAGACAGTTCCCCAATCCTGAGATTTTTAATATCACTGACAGAGACGAACGTAATTATTGGCTCAGCAAATTCGTCGTCGAAGTTTAAGAGCGACGGTCAGGAAAAATCGAGCAAAATCTTAATTTCGTGGCAAGAGTTGAAAAATCAATTTCTTTCATTTTTTGTTCATAGTTAGCTTTTAGGTAGATAAGAAACCTAAACTAGATTGTTCCTGCCAAAAGTCTTTTATATGTGAGAAAAATTAGAGGATCCGTTTTCGATGTCGGAGTCTCAGACTGCCGTAGTTTTTAACCTGAAATTCGCTAACATTAACTTTCCTCGCGTTCGCAAACGAAGCCGCATGGAGAAATTTGGACACTTTCCATGAGCAGAAAAATTCTTTTTCTTCCACTAGAAGATACTTTCAGGGCAATAGCGAAGCTCGTCGTACTGAAATAATTGAAAAATGAGGGATAGGTTTTCAGGATAACAAAAACTTAAGTTCGTTACTCATTTTCGACAGCAATATTTAACATGTGGTATAACTCCAAATTTTCTTCTTGTTATTAAAATCACACATTTAGACATTCATTTAAAACATACCTGGGAATTGGCTTGGGTTATTGAAGGAAATCTCTGTAAGGCACCATCGAAGTTCAGGAATTTTCATGGTAGGCCGGCGGTAATTGTGTACATAAGCTATCCTTCCAAATAACTAATAGCAAATTCTATGGACTCCCTGTAAAATACGTTCAACTTGCTCTTGCTCAATCTATTGGTACTTTTAGTGTTAATTTCACCTCCTCGTGATTCCTTTCTCTCCGTCCACCTTCCGATAATTTCACAGTGACAATACCAGGGAAATAATAAAAAGCTTCGAGACCACAGGTAACCCAGGCTCTGTGATAGTACCACTGTACGGTTCCAGTAAAGTTACATTGTTTGTATGGGGTAAAAATATCATCCTAAAATTTCTAGGAAATACTAAATAAAGATCAATAAAACTTACTCTGCAGTTAATTGTTGTTGTCCTTATTCCTCCAACGAAGTTTCGTGATAATTTGCAGTAATTTGTTTTAATTCACTCTATCTACAATAATAATATACAAGGTAGGAAACACGAGGTGCCATTTTCGCCGATATGCTCTCATTCAACACAACTTTTTCGAAGAAATTCGAACTCCAACGGAAAATAAACATGCTAGGATCGTAGAAATAGGATAGCAGCAGATATAGAAACCAATGAAACTTTCCCAGATAGAGAAACGAATCCCACAGACTTTGACAAACTCTAAGAATATAATCCAAACAGACCGAGAATACGCTCGCCGAAGCAGCCGGGCCAGATCAACGCGCTGCCAAGAAAATGAGGCCTGGGCACTGTACAAAAAAAAATCATCCCGGGAGTCCTGAGGTGACCTTTCTGGGCACCGATACATCATTTGCCCAAAGCCACCCTACTCTGCTGAAAAACTACTTAGTAGAAGGCGATTGTTCTTCCTAGCCAACACTATTTGCCAGAGCAAACCCCGCACACGCGCCTAAATTTAAATTGCTAAAAAAAAATTAATATAATCAGGAGAGTCTGCGGTGTTACAAGGCGCCCCATTTCTTTTACTAAGGAATGCAAATAACAGTAATGAAACTAATGAAATAACAACGCGAAATACCTGCAAGGCGGGCTAAAAACAAGGTTGAACAAAAGGTAGATGAGGACTGAGATACTGTTGCTGTGAACTCTCCAGCGAAACTATCGTAAATAGACGGTGAAGCTTACAAACTAATGTCAAAAATTATACAGAAAATTGCGACAGAATATGAATTGCGATACACTCTTTTTTTTTTATATAAGAATGTTGTTTTTCCGGCCCAGGCTGAATATTCTTATTTTTCCGCCGATTTTAGGCTGAAAATATTCTTGTATTATTCTTAAATTATACCTTATGACATTTCCGTTTCAGACTTTATTGGGGTATATGAATATATATTACATGTACCGTTCATCGAACTGTCATTAGAGTCGAACATTTTGCTGTAGCTAGTGCAGGTTTTTTCGTTTTGTTGGCTAGTTTCGCCGTTCAGAGAAAGGAATAATTTTATACGGTTAAGTGAAAAACATAAAATTGTATTGTATTTACAGACGTTTCAACACACAAAATTATATCTATCCTTTTCAAAATCTCAGCCTTAGCTTTATTCTTAAAATATTTTAATATTTCGCAAATTTCAGCCTCGATATTCTTATAAAATATATTCTTATATAAAAAAAAGAGTGTAACTGAGACGAATGTGAAAGGCACGTGCACCAGTAAACAAAGAACTAGCGCGATTAACATATTTAGCGATTAATGCGGCAGTGACACGCCGACTTCTTGTCAATACAAGTGAACGCTCTATCGGTTAAATATGTGAATCATCGTGATACACCTCTCTTTGAATTTGGTCCTGTTGTACAAATGCCTCGGTAAGAGCCAAAATTCACTTATATCTTTTGCTCGTTTTAAGTTTTGCAAATCCTCCTCCGTTGTTCTTTCCTTTGCCCTTATAACCTTGCCCTATCGATGTTTGATAAACTTTCTGAGGACCAGCGCCAGGCGCTGAATATAGTTCTAGAGGTACATAATCTCTTTATAACAGGCCAGGGTGGTACGGCTAGGAAGAACAATTGCCTTCTACTAAGTATTTTTTCAGCAGGGTAGGGTGGCTTTGGGCAAATGATGTATCGGTGCCCAGAAAGGTCACCTCAGGACTCCCGGGATGATTTTTTTTTGTACAGTGCCCAGGCCTCATTTTCTTGGCCGCGCGTTGATCTGGCCCGGCTGTTTCGGCGAGCGTATTCTCGGTCTGTTTGGATTATATTCTTCGAGTTTGTCAAAGTCTGTGGGATTCATTTCTCTATCTGGGAAAGTTTCATTGGTTTCTATATCTGCTGCTATCCTATTTCTACGATCCTAGCATGTTTATTTTACGTTGGAGTTCGAATTTCTTTGAAAAAGTTGTGTTGAATGAGAGCATGTCGGCGAAAATGGCACCTCGTGTTTCCTACCTTGTATAATATTATTGTAGATAGAGTGAATTTAAACAAATTGCTGCAAATTATCACGAAACTTCGTTGGAGCAATAAGGACAACAACAATTAACTGCAGAGTAAGTTTTATTGATCTTTATTTAGTATTTCCTAGAAATTTTAGGATGATATTTTTACCCCATACAAACACTGTAATTTAACTGGAACCGTACAGTGGTATTATCACAGAGCCTGGGTTACCTGTGTCGAGACTAGAAGGCTTAGAACGTGTTCTTGGAGGCGAAAGGTGATAATTCGCGCGCGAGAGAGAAAAGAAGAAAAACCAATCTGTTCAAGCAGACTCTCAAGGTCATGTTTCACATTATCAAGAGCTTATGAGTCGTGTTTTGCCTGTCGGACGCTAATTTCTAACTGAATCGATCGTTGTTTCGGTCAGCATTTGTGAAATAGCGTACACAGTCTGTCAAGAGACAATCCACGGATTCCAACAAATCCGTTGTCGGGGAGCCAACAACCACCACTACTGTAAGGGCAATGAATAAGAACCAAATCTTGCTCGAAATTAACGCGGGCATTGCGGCCATGCTTGATTCAAACTGAAGTTACTTTTCAGCCCCATCGTACATGAAGGGGTTTTTTTGCTGACGGTATAATTCGGTGCATCTTATACGACGACCTTCTGTGACCCCACATACCACATGCTTGTTTTATGCGCGTTTGTAAGAAAATGGTCATATACTTTGGAATAAAACGCAAGTATACGTGACAAAAAAACGCACGTATATCGTGTAGCAGGAATGATTGCAAGTATACGTGGGAAAAAACCGCACGTATATCGTGTCATAATTACGCGGGATGACGTCGTCAGCCAGCGTTAAAAATTCGGTAGCGCATTCCTTTCGTCGTCTTGGGAGTCAAAAATTGCCTTGTTTTTTTAACTTTCCCGTATCCCGAGCCCGTCCCGGAAAAATTGTGTGATTTTTATTGGCTGCAACTTCGAATCACGTGCAAGTCAGGTTGGATTGCACAAGCAGAAAACAAAGAAGGGAAAAGTAAGATTACAGCGTAGCTCTAGGAGGACGACGAGTGAAGGCTGTGCACTAGATCTAACGGCGCACGGCAAGACTTGGCCTCGGGCGACTGAAAATATTGTCTAGGTGGCCCAGCCGGGCGACTTGCTGGTGTTGGTTTCTTTTATGTTGATTTACAGTCAAACAGCTAAGAATGTCTAGAATTTATTTCTTGCGAAATCGTAGCTCGCTCGGTGGCTTCACGGCTTAAAAAGAACGCTCAGCTCGCTACGAAACTCTTGAAGTCGACTTGTAAGTAGCAACAAGTAGCATGTCTATCAAAAAGCTTTAAGAAAATGTTGTTAAATCGGGCAGCAGGCACGCGTTGTATTGATGTTCAAAGGTCGTTTCACGTGAATTCACATGTAACATAATCCTTGACTATGAACGTGACAAGCTGCACAGTGATAGTAACATTGAAATTTTTCCTTCAAAATTAGGATGATTCATCAGTTAGTTTTCTAAACAAATTGTTACTTTTGCTCGGACAGGCGTAAAGCACGGTAGGCGACGCAAAACAATAGTTTTTTTTTTTTTTTGAAAAATCGCTGAAGAAGCACGGGAGTCGGTCTTTTCTGTTAGTTAAATATTTTTACTGCTGTGTCTGCGAGGCTAAAACATAACTAAGATTGTTATTCCAGTAAAATACGATGTATAAAAAAGAAAAGAGACGACTATTCTTGTGATTGTTCTAGAATCGGGTATAAAGGGGGTATAAATCTATAAAATCCCGCATTGTCTTTCGTGTCGTGACAAGGCATTACGTATTACGTACTAAAAATAAATACCGGAAAGCTAACCGAATCCACATTTGTCCTGAACATTTCACCGATAATATAGAAAGAAAATACTTCCGTTTATGCGCGTAAACGACGACTTTACAACAAGATGATCTATCCAAAAGAGAGAATAGTTTTGGGGCGGCCCGGGGGGGGAGGGGCACTTCCTTATAAGAGGCTAATGGGGAGAAATGCCGGTGGATAGGGTCGCATTTTCACGACTGGATTGACTATAATGGGGTTGCATTTTCAAAAGAGTTACTAGAATGGGGCCGCACATTTTCGGATTTTTGGGGTAAGAGAAAGGGGGGAATTTCATATATCCCATGATGCATCGCTTCATACTATATTATCAAGCTTCCGAACGCACGTGATGCTATCAGTTCAACAAGGACGTGACAGTTGAACAGCAGCGGAAAGCGATTTGTTCTGCCGATAAAACTTTCTGTACCTTTGCTGTGTCGGTCTATTTACGATTTTCGTTTTACTATTCCAAATATATCTCTTGTTAAGTCAAAGAGAGTGTTTTGCCCGCCGATTATGAGTTAACTAGACTTACGATAGCAACGCAGTCCACACAAACGTCCTAAGAAGCTAGCGAGGAAGGTCTTTGCTTCAGTACGTCCTGTTTTAACGTGCGTTGACAAAGCTCTCCATGAATTAACAGGCGATTTCCACGACTTGTCTTGAAATAAATAAATATTCTAGGTGTGAGATTTCTCTTAGTTGCTTGTTTGTGATCGGGGTGTTCATATTGTCAGTTCAATAATTCATCGATGCAGTACATCAACCGTACAGTGACTGTGCACGCTTTTACTTCAACAAGCACGGCTTATGTAGTCGAAAATACCGAGACCGTTAAAGAGCAAAGTGACGTCTATCGGAGATAAAATTCAAAGGAGGGAAATAGCTCCAACAAACAATAAAAATAACAAAGACATCTCCATATTTTTCGTAACACAACACGAGCTAAGCATCATTGTCAAACATAAACCGAAAAGAGCTTTAATAAGAAATGGCACAATACATATACTCTTTGGGTAAGAGAGTTGTTCATATTTATGGTTAGCAAACGTACCAGGATATTTGTGCTGTAGGTGAAAAGTAAAGTGCTCTTCATTCTGACAATTTATCAAAAAATGGGTCAATTCATTTTTTGATGACCTATTTAAAGGATTGATAAGGTAGATAAATAAATAGAAAGTGACTAAGTTGGGCGACCAACTTGGAGGCCCGGGCACCCCAGCTAAAAATGCTTGGGGAGTCCGAAGGGCTCTCTGAAATCTTCCCTAGAGCACAGCCTTGCAGCCCTGTAGTTATTGGAAGTATGATACATTACATGTTATTGTTGAATGTGGAAGTGCCTTTTTTGAGGACATTAGTAAAGGAATGCAAATTTTAGTGAACTATCCCATACTCTTAACATATATGGTGGTAATATTGATGTAAGTTTTGTTTTGAGTAGCAAAGGAACCCTTGTGTGTAACTCATCTTCTAGTGTATTAGTCCTTAACAGAACATCTCCGTCTCTCCTGCACACATTTGTTGCATACACTACTCAATTTTCCATTGCCGTTCAACATAACGGCAATTCTTTCTTACACCAACACATCCCGCGTAAACGCCTTCGGGCGTCTTCTTGTTTTGAAACAAATGGTCGACCATAAATTTTAGCCATTTTGAAACAGTGAACTCTACCAGCCGGCGACTCTGCGTGACAAACTGTTCCGTGACTGCACGTGACATAACGTACGTTCGAAGAGACGGAGCGGTCAAAATGACAGTCACGGATCACGGCGTGCGTAGTAATACAACGCAATTCTTGAAGGAGTAACATTTTCGATGCCGACAGTACGACCGGTATTTTGAAAAAGAAAAAATCAAACGCGCTAGCATTCTGGTACTCACTTTTTATCGAAAAATAGGGACCTTAACAATGGTAATTCGCTAAGGATGACGGAACAGGAAGATATTTCGTCTTGTTACATTACAATGGAGGAAACTTGGAGCCGTTAAATAAGTTATTTTGGTCACGATTTACTATATTTACCGGACTTCGATGCTTTCGTTTGGAGGCTGACTTAAAGAACCCAAGCCAATTCTCAGGTATGCTTTAGTTGAATGTCTAAATGTGTGAATAAACGAGGACTGGGAAAATTTGGAGTTATACGACATGAAGAATAATGCCGCAGAAAACAACTACTAAATTAAAGTTTTTGTCACCGTTAAAACCTGTTCTTCGTTTTTGAATTATGTTAGTTCAACGAGTCTTGATATTGCTTTGAAAGTATCTTCTAGTGAAAGAAGAAGAGTTGTTCTATTGATGGAAAGTGTCCAAATTTCCCCTTGCGGCTTTATTTGCGAATGCGAGGAGAGTTGATAGGCCTACTCTGGGACCTTAACTCGCCGCGAGATTGTGCGAGCTAATGCGAGTTTAGGCGAGTTAAGGCGAGATAAGGAAAAATTGAGCTCGCCTATCAGTTGCGAGTTTGTGCGAGTTAAGGCGAGTTAAGGGAAAATGATCCATCTTATAATATGCTTTAGTGACATAAATATAAAGATGCCTTGGAATCTTTGTATGTCTTATATATATGGTAGGCTCCATGTTGTCCAAGTACGAAAAAATTAAACCAAAAATTTCAGATGAGCTCCAAAGTTGAATGAAGCCAAATCTTGTTTAAATTTATTAACTGAAATATTTTCCTAATTGGACAAGCTTAAGTATGGATATGCTGGTGATATGGAGTCCTGTTCTTAATTAATTTTATAGCATTTAAACTCCAAACTAGACCATTTGGTGGCTGTATCATAATAATAATCAGTGTCATCATCATATATTATTTATTAAAGCTATATAATTATTTGGCAGAGTAATAAATTACCCGTAGTGAGGAAAAAAAAATGAAAACAAAACAATCATGAATTGATAAAAAAAAATGTAGCTGTAGTATAAGCACAGGTATGATATTTTATTTTATTTTATTTGTTTTTTTAAATCAATAACACTATGTTTTAATAGGCAGGTGAGCATAATAGGTATCACATGACATGTCATCAATTGTTATCACTAACTCCAGAATTGAAAAAAAAAAAATTTTGCAGTCTGTGTCAATGTTCTTCAAAGAACTAGTATAAAAAACCGGGGAAGCTGACGAATTACAACTCAGCTGAGGAAATTTTTATGCCACAATCAATTTTATTGAAATGAAATGAAATTTCTTTCTCCTTGAAAATTACGACTTATCTTTAAGTCTTCCATTTGATCCATTCTCTCCACTTCACTGATGGTTTCCCTTGGAGTCCAGCTCAATTGTTTGTTTTCACTGCCAGAAATGATTGCCTTTTCGTTTCCTCGGATAATCTATTCTAATTTCTTGCAAATGAAGGCTGATGCCTTTTCGCAAAGACAGCAGTTCCCATATTTTAGAAACTCCCTCCTTAAACTTGGACAATCCTGTGAGAGACACCTTGATTTCTACAAAAGAAAGGAGGATCAAGTTAACTTGATAGTAAACTCTTGATCATTCTTAGCCTAGCAAAACAGCAAAAAATAAATGACCATATTTTCTGTTTTGGCTTACTTATTTTTTACAAAATGTCAGAAAGTGTTAATAGTTGTGCAGAGGACTATACCTTATTTAACTTGATTAACAAGAAAACACTCTCTACTATCGGCTTTGTCTTCCAAACTCTTAAGAGTTGTCACTGATGAATCTTTCCTGACTTTCCTGCTTCGCATTTTTACAAAATGATCACCGGCTCAGGCGTTTTGTGCGTGTTTTTATGTCACGTACGCCACATTGAAGCTTCCAACCTAAAACTTGCCAGTGGACTGGGATCAACAAGGCTTTTATAGAGTTAACGTTGCAAGGGTAAAAGGCTTTAGCTTAGCTTACCTGCATGTGATACATTTTGAAACTTCTCGATTTAACATCAAAAGTTTTGCACGAGTTCTCCTCCTTTTCTTCAGAAGTTTTCCCGTCCATCTTGAAAATTACCCAGAAAGCATATCGAGGACAATAGGCTGAGCGAGAGGGCCCTGGGAAGACACGAGTTACCAGTATCTTCTGGGTAATTTCAAAGATGGCGAACGAAGTTGGCTATCGATGCAAAATATTGTACCTTTAGCAATCCTTTATTCAGTTAAGGGCTAAATGTAACAAGTCTTCTGAATCATGCCTGGGTTATGGTTGCCAGTCTGAATACAATGTAGGCCATACAGGATGTCACGTTGAACCAATGTACAGATCTTCTATTACGAGGTAAATATTTATAAGAATTATTTATAAGAAATATGGACTGCAATCAGTATGTGGACTATTTAAAGGATTCTCGATTATGGCTACATCCTAGCCTTTCATTGATGATTGTCAGCTGGAATCCTCATTAAGCTTCATCAGATTATAAGATGATACGTAAGCTACTACTCTTCATATGTCATAAACAGCTTGGATGCATTATATTTGCAAAGTAATTAAACTTTCCATTACAAGTAAACTTTTTTTGTAAATCATTAGCCAGCTTAAAACTAAAAATTTGATATTCTGGTGTTATGTTTTCGTATTTCACTCTAAATTCGAGATTTCTTATTTTAAGCCAAAAATTAGAAACAAATCATAGGAGAATATTTTTTTCTTCAATTGAGAGATTCAAAGCAATCTTGAATTTAGAGTGTTTCTTTGTCTTGCGTAGAAGTGTAAGACTAAAACTTAAACTATTTTATGAAAACTTTTTCGTGGATTCACTGTTAGTGCTTTTATTTAATGTCACTTACTTTGTGGACCAAAACACAAACAGTGAATGTGGGATTTGTTAGACCCCGTGACCCCATGCCTCTGGAATTTCTGCCATGCTTAGCATTGAAGCCTTTTCATTAGGCAACGAGTTAGTGCATGTTCAGGCTGTTCCTGGTAGTTCCATGGACAGTCCAGTTGTGACTCCAAGGCATGACAATGTTAAGTAAGAAAAAACCTCATCGAATCTTTAGTGGTGAAATACCCTTACCACAGAGGCTATTGGAAATTCCAGAAGGATGGGATTGGTCAATTACATATTTTTTTAAAGGTAAAAACCCTGTTTTCCTTAAAAATCACTATCTTTTAAACTTTTGAAATTTGTATTCTTTGGCGTCTTCCCTTTATGGAGTAATTGTGAAATTGCACTGAGAGTAGGATGAGATATTAAAATTGGTATCCACTTGGCAGTGGCGAGATTGGGCGAGTTTGTGCGAGATAATGCGAGTTAAGGCGAGATAAGGGAATTTGAACATAATCTCAAGTCGCGAGTTAGGGCGAGTTAAGGCGAGTTAAGGTCCCAGAGTAGGCCTGTTGATGTTGGCAAATTTCGGGTTGAAAATACGGCCATTTTGAGACTCCGACAACGACAACTGATATTCTTACTTTTCTCGAAAATAAAAGACTTTTTGCGAGAACAACTTACATCAGATTACTTATCTACCTAAAAGCTGTGTATGGGCAAGAAACGAAGGAAATCGATTTTTCAACTCTTGCCACTCGATGGTCGATATTTCCTGACCGTCGCTCTTAAATTGTTGGTCTAAAGGAGGAATTTTATGTCGTCAGAAACAGCAAAGTTGCATTGCAATTATTTGCAACGAGAACTATTATGAGAATTTATTTCCATTATCGTTTTCGCTTTTGGGTTTGTTTGTATAAAATCCCTCAGTCGAGGGATTTATCTGTATAAATCCCTCAAACGAGGGATTTATACAGAGAAATCCCTAATTAATAGTTATGAATTCAATTCATCAGCCCCACTCTTCCCTGCTAGGTCATCAAGAGGGTTGTACGTTAAATAAAAGTTGTTGAATAACAAACGAAAAGGTGTGAATCATGAAATAAGCTATTCTAGTGACTTGAGACTTCAACTGAGACGCCTTGAGATCAGATTTACAACCCGACGTACTGCGTGAAGTCATCATCTCAGTTTAAATCCTCAAAAACTGAAAGCCTTACAGTACGCTGTGAGAGCTTGAAAGAGAAATGCTCTATTGTTACACCTGTTCCAGTCTCGTCTTTGGACCTTCAAAATCAGCTGTGACCTTACACCTAAAACAAAACGCCGTTAAAAGCTAGTCGAGCCTTTTTCAGGTCACCACCGAACAAAAAGAACCAAAACTACCCGGAACGTTGTTAACCAGTCGAGCACCACGCTGGCTTTGGTTCGTCAAGCACAATCACAACTTCCAACGTTCTTACACGCACAGAAGGCAAAAAGCGACACCGCCTCCTCATCTTTCGCTTCCTCTCCTTCCCGCATTTTCCCTTTCCCTCCCCCGTCTTTTTCCCTTTGCTGGGAATTGACAAGGCTTCATTTCGGTAGAGAAAGTTTCCGTAAGATCCCCCAGGATCGTGAAAGTAAAGGGCGATTTTCATTGGAATTCAACGGTCAACTGTATTGCGTGTTGCTATTGTTGTTGTGTTTCTCTTGCCCATTTGACTGAAACGTGCTTGTTCGGGTATGATTTGAAAGATTTCTTTCTCCTGCACAAGTTAGGTACCACAGTTGTCTATGACCGTTAAAACGGATGACGTCACAAGTGGTATGAGGTCCAACCAGGCGGCTACGGGCGCTTCATGTGTGAACGGTTTAAAAGCAAACAGAAAGTTGTCCCAGGTAGGCGAGTGTTTTTTTCTAGCAGAGCGTTAATACCCTGAAGCTAGGGCGCCTGTTTCGCCCTTATGTACTGACGTGTTAGACGAACGTCTTGATAAAAGGAAGCCTTATAACTTAGTTAAACCTTCCCCAGAACAGGAGAAACAAGTTCTCCTGTCTAGAAAATCGCATAAAAACAAAAACTGGATCTGCAAAAGCACAAAAATTTCCTTCTTTCCTCCTGCCCTTTCTAAAGACTTATCTCAGTGAAGTTATTTTCCTATAGATTCTGGAAAGGTTAGTGAAATGTAAAACTGAAACCCAACTTATCTGAATCTTTACATTATTAGTAAGGCTACAACCAAACTGACCTGATTCATTTGTGTGTTTACCACTGCTTGCTTTAACACCTGAGGTTCTCCAGGAGCGTCAAAACCAAACTACAAGGTTAGTAAATATGATAAATCAAAACAAAAGTACTTTTATAACTGTATATTTACTTTTTTATTTACACATATAAAAGATGCAATAATAATCCAGAAGGGCTTTGATGATTCCCGTGCTAGTCCACAGTAGCTAATTTGCACTTGCCAGCGAATTTTGATTATGTGGTATGTTAGCCTCCTCCGAAGGCTTCACAGTCCTGTTTCAGAGACCAAGCGTGAGAGTGGGGAGTGAACGGTGAGGGAACCGTTATAATAGGAGTTGCCTGTGGAGGAGGCTAGTGGTATGTTACGGTACGAGATATTCTATTTGCATGCTTTTATTGTTTGTTTGTTTCAATTTGGGTTTCTTTTCGATCACCTACCTGACCCATTTCTGTCTGTTTGTTTGTGTGTAGAACTCGATCCACCTTTGCTTCTTCTTCTTCTTTGTCCTTGTCCTCGTCATCTTCGTCTATATTGTTCTCCTCGTAATTGTTTTCCTCACCTTCTTCTTTTTCGTCCTCATCTTTTTGGATACTTCTAGCCGCCATCTTTGCAAGTTTGGAAGCGAACTGAGACACACCTAGCTTTTCATCCGTGCGTTTCCAGTTCTTTACTTGATCGATATGGACTTCGAATTTGGATGGGTCAACTTCAATTCCGTCAGTACTATCTTCGTCAGGGTCAAATGGCAGACCTAAGAAGGATTTCTTCAAACTTGTCTTTCCCGAGCGATCTTGACCTATCAGCATAATTCGGGCTCGGTACACATTCACTTTTCCTGTCTTCAAAGCATTTTCATACGCATTCTGCGCTTTTGGTCCTCGTGCTATGATCTCGCTTGGAACTAAAACGATAAAATAATTTCAATACATTTTCAATCAAGGAGATAAAAAATTTCCATACTCCCTACGATTTTATCTGGATTCGTTTGGATGGGATGTCACAGTGACGTCATTGCGAGAAAAGGTTTAGCCAAATATAAAAGAAAGGAGGATAAAGCAGTGTTCAGAGACGTACTCTTGCCATCCCATTCGATTCAATATCGAATTTTCCCGAATCAATAATCTACAGATCTGCGAACAAAATGCCTGAAAGAACTATACAGCTCTTAAGGAAGGCAACTAAATTAAATAAATAAATAGAAAAATATTTAGACAGAATATGGAAAGGGTGTTGAGCGGAATACGCAAATATCGTGCAAGGGAAAATGTCTCGAGAAGTCTACAGGAAACAACCTCTAATATTAGTATTAGTATAAGTGTTAGTGTTAGTATTAGTATTAGCCTGAGTATAGGTAATCACATGATTTCTCGTGCAATTTGGAATAAATAAGCACGAGTAAATTTTTCAAAGACCAACACTTTGGGGTCTTGAAAAATTTACAAGTGCTTATTTATTCCAAATTGCACGTGAAAAATCATGTGATTTCTTATTAATAATATACACGAAAACATAACTATAACAACAACAACAAAATTAATTTTGACATCGCGCGCGTTTTTAGTTTATTCAACTGATTGGTTGAAACAGACCACTACCTTCGTCAAATTCAAACTTTTTCAAGACCAACGCTTTCAAAATCATCCAAGCTAAGAACTAAGAACCAGCCTGTTAAAGATCGGTTTACAATAATCAGCAAAAGTAAGTGTTTTCAAATTCATCCTCGATTATGAGAGCTCAGCGTTTACAAGAAGCGTTTACAAGAAGTATACTGCCGTTTTGAAATCAGGAGAACGCTTCGAGCAGCCAAAGATGAAAGACACTTGCTAAGGTTTTTTAACGACTGTTCATCATTTTCTGTTTCTGAGACCCCATCATAGCTGGATTCATGGAGAAATTTTTTGAGATTTCAAACCCGAAAATGAAGGAAGCAATTTGTTTTCTTCCGACGCTGCCATCGATGGGTTGAGCGGAGCCACAGTTGTTGCGATGTCGGAAACTGCCAGTATTAGTATACTAGTAATAGTTGACACCACAGCTGCCCCCGCTCTGTATATTGTCGGTCAATAGCATTCTTGCTCGTTGTGTAGCTCTTTGAAATAAACCGATTCATAATGAAGATTCTCATACATATTCCATACAATAGGTGAGATAAATACAGGAAACGCAAGGTTCCATGCGCAGTTTCAGGTCGATTTACACAGCTTTGATCAAAACCTTCTCAGTTTCGAGAATAGTTTATTCTAAACCATAAGAAAAGACTTAATTAGAAGTTAAATTTTTCGCTATTTCTCTTTCACTTTTTACATTCAGTTCATTTTATTCGCCGAAATGGAGGCTTTAGAAATTAAAAGGGACGTTTGATCAATTCACTCGCGCATTCTAGTCTTATTTTAAACTTTATAGCAGTACTGTGCGCAGGGAATAAGTCAGCACAGAATTTGATTGTCGGCGAATTTCTGTAATCGTCCATCGTTCTGCTGGTGAGAAGCTAGCCGTTGTTCACTTGTCTTGCTTGTTTGGGGCTGAGTCTTATTCCGGTCAAAGAGAGAGAAAGACTGTCGGGCAAGGTTTCCAATGAAAGATTTGTGAACTCTGGCAAACTCTCCAAGTGTTCATATATACACAGTTATACGCACCTTATAACTTCTTCTGCGCTTAACGAGTGTCGTTAAAATTTTGGTCCATAACTAAGTGACTTTGTTGACGAGGTGTCTTACAGTGACTATTGTGCATTGCGTTTTCTCAGTCGAAGTATGACTGCACAATAAATGTCACAAAATCTACCTAAGAGGTCCCTTGGGGAAGTTCCGTCTTTACGTCATCCTAACCATTTCGTACTTACGGGCGCAAACAATAGAAATGTCACCATTACCTACCGATTTCTCGCGGCCCCTGTTCAAGCAAATCGAGATTTTTTCTATATTGACAGTATGACTGTATATTTCAACTGTAAGTACTTTCCTTAATATACACGCAAGTTACTAGAGTGCCTCCTCAGGATTTCGCCTTCTGGGCGAAATCCCTCTGTGGCCTGTGACATTGGTGATATGTTCTGAACTTACAATCTTTGCTTTCTTCACCTTCCTGACTGTTGTTTCTCTTGCACAACTATGATTCGTAAATTTTTTTTCTCACTTTGTTTAAGGCTAGTACCAGCTACGGATACTTTCATTATTTTAGTTATGGTATTTTCGCCCAATGGTTTAGTTTGGACCGGATGTTTAAATTTTCGGTTTCGTTTGCTCCTGAGGTAGGAAAAAACAGACCATCGCATGGATTTTTTAATAGAGGTCTTCGCTAAAAGACTCAAAGAGAGCAAATGGGACACCTTTCGCCTCCAACAAATAACGTGCGTGACTTGAAATCCCTGTTGTTATCATGGAAAACTTGTATCCTTGTTCATTTAAATGCCTGAAAAGTGTAGCTGTCATGGTTTTCGTGTGGTTGCAACCGTTCATTTTCCTCGATTTTGTTGACGGTATCGTTTTCTTTTAGCAACGTATTTTCAATACATTTAGCCAGAAAGAGCTACTTTTTACTGTGTTCGGGTTTTTGGAATATTTTGTTTAACTTTTCTATTGTTGTTTTGCGTACAAAATTAAATCCCGTCGTTGTCTGCTGAAAACCATCGCCATTTTCTTGAATTTTGTTGTTAAAACAGCTCTAATCTGATTGGTTCTTGTTGGTTTCTTTCGTCTTTTCAGACAATCAGAAACCACTTGTAATTTGCACTCGTGTTACAGAAGAACTGCACTCCTTTCTCAGCCAATCAGAATTGAGTAATTTTTTCGTGTATATTATTAAAGACATTAAAAACATTAGGCCCAGTCCACACTTATCCAAGCCTGCGAGAGCAGACGCCTTTTTCGGCTCTTTGAAAAAAGCATCTTTTTTCGTGGAATTAGTCTTCCGTCTACAGATATAACTCATATCAGAATTAAACACTCACTAAAACGTAACTTTTATAATAACGCTTTCCGGAGAGGAAAGGTCGATTTCCCCGATCACTGGTGTGGAAGGATGAAAAAGGAAAACTATCGAAAACGAGACGTCACGGTATCTGATCTCGCGCAGCAGAACAAGAATGTTTCACTGCCACTTTTTTTTTTTTTAAAGTGTAGCATATCTAAGTCAATTTCTCTCTTTTTGGGTAAAATGTTCAAGCTTGTTATCCACAGGGCTCCTTTTATCGACGCGTTAAAAACGACTCGGAACAGCTAGAAATCCATGATAGCCGACCTACTACTAGCAGATGGCACTTGATGATGATGAAAAATGACTCAGCAGAGGTCGACAAGCAACGCCTCAGAGGTACCTTTGCACAAATGTACTTTGTACGTAACTTTTGGCTGCCGTTGCCGTCGTCAAGAGGTTCCACTGAATTTTAATTCAAACAGTATTTACTCTGTAATGACACTTCTGCTTTCTCCGACATAAGTATTGTCTTCAACTTCAGTTTCATCTTCAGGCTCTACTACAACCTCTTCTTTAGCGGCTTTCACAGGTAACACTGTCTCAACCACTTCTTTATCTTTGCTAGCTTTTGAAATTATTCCAGTTGCAGCAATTTGTTCGAAGGAAGACATACTCATTACTCCTTGCGGAACTTAAGATGCAATGATAAGATAAATTAGGATAAACCTGAACATGTCTGTATGTCTAGTACGTATAGAGCATACCAGAAACCTTCAGCTTTTATGCCGACACAACAATTGTTCTGTTTCATTAAAATCGAAATTCGACATCAATGGAACAAATAGCCTGCGTGCCGGCACACGTGTCCTATTTCCTTTGTTGTACGGGGAAAAGTAATGCAGCGTTCACACTTGGTGCCAAAGTACAGTACTCGCTGGGCACTAATGTGAACTCTTTTCAAGCATTCCCACGCTAGAATTCGGGTACGGTGCCGGTATCCGGGTACAAGGTCTCTTTTGGCATGTTTTTTTTTTTTTTTTTTTTTTGGGGGGGGGGGGGGTTGATTTTTGTCCGCATTCGAGTATCCCCGTAACTTGAAATCCGCCGTGGGTGCCACAGAAGGAGTTGTTACATTCAAAATAACTGAATCTGCCCTTGACATTTGTACGTTACGTCAGCCCAAAATTAGAAGCGGCTTTCATATGATGTGAAGAATTATGCAGATTTCGGAGGCTGTTATCCACCTAAAATCCTCGTCGATCTGCAAACTTCTTCACATCATACTCACCCTCATTCAATAATCAAGGTCACCCAATGACTGTTTTCTGTAAAATATCTGTTCGGAGAAGCAAAAATTGCCTAAAATTTTCTATAGCTTAAGGAAGGGAAGGCTAAAACTTTCTAGATGACCACTCCATTCATTTACAATTTTCGAAGCGGCTTATCTAATAAATTCCCTACGATTTTGTAAAGTTTAATTTCGCGCATTTCACTCCCCAGGGTAAGCAATTTTTCGTAGAAAAAGGAAACCTAAAATTTCCGGATTCGAAAATGAGATGGTCCATCACATTTCAAACCCAAGAGAAATTCTTACTTTCGTACAACTTTAAATTGCACCTAAAATTGTCGGGAAAATAATACTGAAGCCCCTGTAATTTCGAAAAGACTTTAGTTGCCCTAGGATGACCGAACTAACCTGCGTAGCAGGCTTCGAAAAAGGTAGGGGACAGGGAGGAATGGAAAAAGGGAAGGGGGATTGAGGAGAGTTGGTAAGGGGCTCCCTTCCCTTTTCCTCGCTTACGCGCTTTTCTCCCTCCCCCTCCCCTTTCTGCGCCTGCCACGCAGGCTAGACCGAACAGATTCAAATTCTGTAGCGCCGATTGCAATGCATTTCTAAAGATATAAAAGTACTCTGGATAGCCTTGAAAGTGTTTTCACTGTACATGTATGTGGAAGGAAACCGTCGTTGGGTGCCCCTGAGTAATTGCTAAATGGTCTATTCGAAGTAGTCTCTTTTGCTGGAAAACATATTACATCCTGCTAAGTTATCTGGGGACAGTTATTTGCATAAATTAACCGCTAACCACACGAGGCCTGTTAAATCGTCATTCTACTCGATAACTGACTGTTGAAGTACAAACTGTTAATGGACTCTCGCATAATATCGCCCCAATGACATTAAAAGAAAGATACATTGTTTTTTAACCGTTTAAGTAAACGGGTAAACGGCGAAAAACAGTTGCACAAAAGAACTAACTTTTTCTCAAATCTACATTTTCATTAGCCTGAATTTCAGACGATTCAAAACTTAGTTTTCTCTCTGTTGCTGAAAGGACAAAACGACTCGAAGTAATCCTCTGAAATTTGCTTGCCATGCAAAAAGCTATCGGGTAAAATATTTACATTGTTACAACTTTTGCTCATAAATGTTCCCTTTAGCCTTGTTAAAAAACATTTTCCCTTCCTCTCGTAAATGACAATGAACAAAGGTCATCAGTGGGCGGGGGGGAGGGGCGTGTAGAAAAACTGATAACGTTTTTGTTGCGAGAAAGGATGGCATGTTCATATGAAGTAAAAAGAATTTTAACTACATATATTTGTTTCCAAAATTCGGCCCAAACTTTTCCCCACTGATGCTCAGCGCAGGTTCTTGATAGCAGTCAAGCAAATGCCACAGTGAGTAGTTTCATCTGAAACTATTAACAACTAACTACACAAAGTATGAAGGAAGGTTTCGTTTGGTTATTTTCAATTTTGCTCGAGCCTTATTAAAAACAAAGATAAATTTAAATTGAAATATGTTCCATCTATAAATAATAAAAGTACCACAAATTTCTTAAGACTGTCTTATTGATGACAATTTCATTGAAAATTATTCTCACACCCACCTGTAATAACCGAACTGGTCATTCCCTTTTTGTTCATCTCTAGAACATGTATTGCATCCATAGATAAAGGATTACCACTCACATACAGCCTCAGCTCCTTTAAGTTACCAATCTCAGAAGGAAGTTCTGTAAGTTTGTTACCAAACAAGTACAGACTCTCAAGCTGGTTCAGCTTCTGTATACTGGTAGGTAAACTAACCAACTGGTTGTCACTTACATATAGGCTTCTTAGCTCCTTTAAGTCACCAGTCTCAGAAGGCAGTTCCGTAAGTTTGTTACCAGACAAAAACAGCACCTTAAGCTGGTTCAGCTTCTGTATACTGGTGGGTAAACTAATTAGCTGGTTGTAACTCACAACCAGACTCCTCAGCTCCTCTAAGTCACCAATCTCAGAAGGAAGTTCTGTAAGTTTGTTACCAAACAAGTACAGACTCTCAAGCTGGTTCAGCTTCTGTATACTGGTAGGCAAACTAACCAACTGGTTGTCACTTACATATAGGCTTCTTAGCTCCTTTAAGTCACCAGTCCCAGAAGGCAGTTCCATAAGTTTGTTACAAGACAAAAACAACAACTTAAGTTGGTTCAGCTTCTGTATACTGGTAGGTAAACTAACCAACTGGTTGTTACTCACATCCAGCCTCCTCAGCTCCTTTAAGTCACCAATCTTAGAAGGAAGTTCTGTAAGTTTGTTACCAAACAAGTGCAGAATCTCAAGCTGGTTCAGCTTCTGTATACTGGTAGGTAAACTAACCAACTGGTTGTCACTTACATATAGGCTTCTTAGCTCCTTTAAGTCACCAGTCTCAGAAGGCAGTTCCGTAAGTTTGTTACAAGACAAAAACAGCACCTTAAGCTGGTTTAGCTTCTGTATACTGGTAGGTAAACTAACCAACTGGTTGTTACTCACATCCAGACTCCTCAGCTCCTTTAAGTCACCAATCTCAGAAGGAAGCTCTGTAAGTATGTTACCAGACAAGTGCAGCTCCTCAAGCTGGTTCAGCTTCTGTATACTGGTAGGTAACGAACCCAAATGGTTGTACCTCGCATCCAGCCTTCTTAGCTCCTTTAAGTCACCAATCTCAGAAGGCAGTTCTGTAAGTTTGTTATTATTCAAGTACAACCTCCTAAGCTGGTTCAGCTTCTGTATACTGGTAGGTAAACTAACCAACTGGTTAGAAGTCACATCCAGGCTCCTCAGCTTCTTTAAGTCAACAATCTCAGAAGGAAGTTCTGTAAGTTTGTTACCAGACAAGTGCAGCTCCTCAAGCTGGTTCAGCTTCTGTATACTGATAGGTAAACTAACCAACTGGTTGTGACTTACATCCAGCCTCCTCAGCTCCTTCAAATCACCAATTTCAGCAGGTAGTTCTGTGAGTCTGTTGCTATACAAGTGGAGTCTGACAAGATTTTTTAGCTTGTTAATACTTGTTGGTAATTCAGTCAGGTTATTGTTATCCAGTTTGAGTTTCTCCACTTCAGTCAGTTCAGTGACTGCATCAGGTATCCTGGAGAGTCCTTTTCCACTTAGATCCAAACTAACCTCTCCACCTCTAACTTCAACATAGGCTATTAATTTTGCACTGGAATAATCCTCCATGTTTCAAATTATTAAATAAAAGTATTGTTGTCCTTTCTTTGTAATCTAAAATGAAAATAATAAAAATAGTAATTAGCAAACAAACGTTATTTATTGATCTGACCCCTGACAGTGTATCTTAGGTGAACTTTAAAGACCAAAAAGAAAAAAAATCTTAAGTTTCAGAAAGTGTGTAAACATGTAAATTAAACATCTTTGCAAGACAACATTATTCATTATTATTAATTATTTTAGTCAAAATATATTTCTCCGTTTGTGATTGGCTTGAGTCCCCTGGCCAACTCCTCACAACCAGCTGGCATTGACCAAGGGCCTATCTGCACTAGCAAAAAAGTTGTCTTAGACAAATTTTCCGTCATCACCAATGCTTTACAAATGCGGATGGTTTGTCCCCAGATGGGAGAAATCTTCAAAGGCAACAAAATCACCTAAAAAAATGAAAACATGACTTTTTCTCATCAATCATTTGTTGTAAAGCCATTTAATTCTTTCCATTAAGTTGACAGGTGCGACGGCCTGTTAATAGTAAATACTCTCAGTGTGAATTACAACCTCGCTCCCAGGGTTCTCTCCTACCCGGCTACTCTCTATCTCTCTCGCTCTGTAGGGCGGTTAGGAGAGAACCCTGGGAACGAGGATGTGTTAAATTATTTTTCAAAAACAAAATTGTTACCATACAATTTTCAGTTTAGATGTTTCAAAGTTTCACATTCCAAGTTTGTCTGCTAGTGCAGAAAGGTCTCAAATTTCACAACATAATGGTACCAATAATGTCAATTGTACAGCAGAGTGAGACCATCAACAAAAAATATTAACATTAAGGACAAGGTTTGGCAAACAGTTTTTGTTAGTGACATCCTCCAAGCCTGCCTGCAGATGTCTGCTATTTCCTTTGTTGCATGCAAAAATGTGGAAAAGAGAAACCTTTCTGCATGCAACAAAGGAAATCGGAGATGTGAACCCAGGCTACCTTGGGCGGCTATGGTGGGTAACATTCAGTGGATAAAAGACAACATACCAATTATCTATATTTTATCTTTTAGGCATTTCCTAGTTAAGAATAAACTTTTTTATTGAAAGCTTTCATTATAAGGTTATATCATATAATTTTCTGCTTATCTTTTCTTAAAACGTTTGTTGTTATATAATCTACACCCAACAAGATGTGTGATAGGTTATTTATAACCTGTAATACTTTCCTTTTAAAAATAAACCTTTTTTTTATCTACTTAAAGCCTCCTTTACATAATTTGTACGGTATTCTGTTTACCGCGTAACATCTACATCTATACCTGCAGGAGGTTATAGCTAAGTAAAATCAACTTGCAGGAGGTATTTATATTTCACTAACTTTACGCAAATCAAACACATCTTTGAATTATCTTGTAAATTAATAAGAATAAATACAGCTGTCACCTTCCTTGAGCTTCCAAGGTTTCATATGATTCGCTCATTTTACTTTTATTCCTGACCCGAAACATTTATTTCTGGTTGCCTGGGACAGGAATAATTTAAAACGTGAAAGCTTCCTAAAGAGTTACCTTTTCTACAGAAATCTTTTGGAGCCTTGAATAAAGAAATTTTGTACTTGCT